GTGAAAGGACTATGCGTTAATCCAGGCCATCATGTCTGCCCAGAGGGGAAAGGGTGTTGCCCCATTCGCCCTCTCTTCTCTGGAAAGAAAGATGGCGGCCGCATGGGAGCCTTGTGGACAGCAGGTATGAGCCGGGGGTGTGGGGGCAACTAAAACCTCATGGGAAGGGGGGCGTTCCGGTCCGTCCTTCACGCCCTACCGAGGTCACCAGTTGCCCCCCACGAGCAGCTCTCCAGCACGGCCACAGCCCCAGAAGCACAAGGACTTAATGCAGAACCCAGCAGCTTGGAGCAGAAAAGTGAATGGACTATGCGTTAATCCAGGCCATCATGTCTGCCCAGAGGGGAAAGGGTGTTGCCCCATTCGCCCTCTCTTCTCTGGAAAGAAAGATGGCGGCCGCATGGGAGCCCTATGGACAGCAGGTATGAGCTGGGGGTGTGGGGGCGACTAAAACCTCATGGGAAGGGGGGCGTTCCGGTCCGTCCTTCACGCCCTACCGAGGTCACCAGTTGCCCCCCACGAGCGGCTCTCCAGCACAGCCACGGCCCCAGAAGCACAAGGACTTAATGCAGAACCCGGCAGCTTGGAGCAGAAAAGTGAACGGACTATGCGTTAATCCAGGCCATCATGTCTGTCCAGAGGGGAAAGGGTGTTATCCCATTCGCCCTCTCTTCTCTGGAAAGAAGGATGGCGGCCGCATGGGAGCCTTGTGGACAGCAAGTATGAGCTGGGGGTGTGGGGGCGACTAAAACCTCATGGGAAGGGGGGCGTTCTGGTCCGTCTTTCACGCCCTACCGAGGCCACCAGTTGCCCCCCACTAGCGGCTCTCCAGCACAGCCATGGTTCCAGAGCACAGAAACCAATTTCTGACTTTCAGTAGAAATACTTCCAGGGTCAATAAGTAAAATAGCAGAAATCCAAAACCAACATTTAATTCTTGAACCCAGCTATAGAAAGCAAATCACTTCACAATGCTTTTTCAGCATATCTGATTTGGGGGGGGGGAGGTAAACTCTAAATAATAGTGGTGAATCTTTTATTGAAACAATGAATCTAATCAAAGCAGATAGAGTGTTAACTAGAATTCATCTGCCTCACAGGGACTGGGAGGGGTGGGGGGGTGGGGTTTTATTGGGGTTCTTCATGGAAAAAAATAAGTATTGGTAAAGGGAAATGTGTTTGATATTTGCATGACTGAGACCTAAACCTGAAAGCTTTGTAACCTTTCCCACAGTGATTCAATAAATAAAAAAAATAAAATAAAAAAATTAAAAGAAAAAGTGGTGACATCTGGAAGCTTAACCTTATGCCAGAAGACCTAATTCCAAGCAATCTAAGTGCCCTTTCTCCTAAATTCTATTACTCACCTCTTTCTGAATGGAAGAGATTTGCCTATCATTCAGCACATAGTTAGTAACACGACGTTGGCAACAGTTGTGAGATTTCAAAATATATCCACCAATCTTTCTCATGTTAGAAATAACCCCCCTGGTGGGGGTATAATGCCACCAGCAGGTCTACTTGTACCTGATGGGTGAGTGCATCAGGAGCCTGATGGTGCCTTCAGGTTCCTGATACCCCAATATTGCTGCTGTGCCTTTGGCTGGACCCCAACAACTTGGGACCAAGTTTACCAAGCAATTAAATGGTCAAAAGTTAGATATGTGGGAGTTGGAGGCAAGATGGCGCCTACACCAGTCGAACCCCTCACGCTCTCCTGAACACAGCTCATCACCTCACTCTCGCTGGTGTGCAACTCAGCAAGTCAGGAATGGAATTCCGTGTGTGATCCCTGCTGGAACTCTGCACATGATTCCTGCTGGACTTCACCAGCTGCTTTCTGGGATTAAGACAGAATGGAGTCGGCAGGGCAATGAAAAACCACAGGGGCAGTCGCAGCATCAACACCTCCCCTGGCCAGGCCAAGTCAACACTATTGAGCATGGAACAGTGACAGTAGAGTGCACAATGGCTTATCCACTGCAGGACGCTGTCTGCCAATCACTGAGTGACTTGGGACTCGGCACAGGTGTTCGACCTGGCACAGACCCTGTGCAATGGGATCTTGCTCTGACAGCTATTCAATGACCTCCAGGCGCACTACATCCACCTCAAGGAGATCAATCTGAGGCCACAGATGCCCCAGGTGTGCCTGGAGACGCAGGCAGGTGCCTGTTGTCAGCGAGCAAATTGTTATAGCAGGTCCGTCACCAGCAGCTTACATTCAGTAGACTGGGAATACCTGCAGGGACGATTAGAGATCACCCCAAAAGCCTCAATCCCCCCCCCAAGAGCCCAGCAAGCTACTGAGGGTTATCCTGCCTGCACGGCAGAGCCTGGCAAGCCAGTGATGTACTAAATATGCCAACAACAGTAGCTAAAATGGGTCTCATTTCCCTAACCCTGAAAGAGTCTCCAGCTGAGTTGGGAAGAACGAGAGGGCTCGTATTAAGCAGATGACACGCAAGTCAACAGGCGGGAGGATGCCCCGAAAGCAGCTAGTCATCAAGGCGGCCACCTATGGGCAGCGTGAAGAAGCCACACCACTACTAGCCCGACACCATGGCACTGAAAGAGATCCGCCGCTACCATAAGTCCACCGAGCTGCTTATCCGCAAGCTGCCGTTCCAGTGGCTGGTACGCAAGATCGCACAGAACTTTAAGACCAACCTGTGCTCCTTAAATTTGGCCATCGTGGCTCTACAGAAGGTGTGCGAGGCCTACCTGATGGGGCTCTTCAAGGATACCAACTTTCGCATCATCCACGCCAAGCGCGTTACGATTATGCCCAAGGACATCCAGTTGGCATGCCACATCCGCGGAGAGAGGGCATAAAGTTTACGATGCTAAAATCTCAGGGCTGGGACAAATGGAGACGCTACTGGCGCCCACTTGAGCAAATCAATGATTAATGAGATGCAGTGCTACAGTGACAGTGAGAGCCATTCTCACAAACCATCTCCAGCTCAGCTATACAAGCTCATTTACTGGCCTTATTTCAAAGACCCATAGATAAATCTCGAAAGAAATCAAAAGCTGCTATTAATCTTGGACCCACATATGGCTGAACAGACAGGGGTAAATCAGAGGGGGTGGGTTAACCTGGGGCCCACCAAAACAGAGCTCCTGGCAGCCACTTGCTTCCACAACCCACAATCACCACCATACCCCTGGCCTAACTCTACCATCTCAGGACTGACCTCACCAAGATATAATCTGCTGAAAATTCTGGTATGTGGGTTTTGTGACTTAAATCTCCAGGTCGAAATGGGCTACCTCACCCTACCTCCCTGTACTTCCAGAAGTCTCGGCAGTTATAGCAACACCCCAAAGTGGCCACCCAACTGAAAAGGTATTCCAGCCTTACTTTCCCAATAAAAATACTGAATGCCCTGAACAAACACCATGTCCTCTTAGCACCTGTAGTGCAAACCATAATGAACAAAAGGAAAAGGAGAGAAAGAGCAAGAAGGAAAGCGCCTCCCTCTGGGTTCAGGGGTGGTGGGGGACTGGGGGATGGTGGTGGGGAAACAGGGGACACTGGTAATGAGAAATGCACACTGATGGAGGGATGGGTGTTGGATCATTGTATGACTGAAACCCAATTATGGACAGCTTTGTAATGGTCTATCTCATGGACAATCCAACTTAAAATTTTTTTTAAAAAAAGTAATATGGAATTCATGAAAATTCAATCAGCTTAATCAATGGCTGAATAAATAGCAATAGCAGTACTCAAAAAAAAGAAAGAAAGAAAGAAAGAAATCCCTGGCAAAAATACATTATTTTTCTCCAGTTTCAAACTTTAAAATCTTATATTTAAATCTGAAACAACTATTTTTGATTCTGCTATAATAACAGTAAAATTCTCTACCTTTATGGGCAACTTTGTCAGAATTCCTTTTTAGATGAGAGTCTTCTTCTTAAACACTGGTTAATAAGTGCTAACTATGGTTAGTAGATACAGACCTTTTGTTTGTGTTTGTTTGGGGACGATACCCAGCATTGCTCTGGGCTTACTCCTGGTGGTACTCAGAGGACCAGAACTGGTCCCAGGGATTCTAACCAGGGTGAGCCGTGTGCAAGGCAAGCACCCTACCCATTGTACAATCTCTCTGATGCTGCAGACACTGACCTTAATGGAAAAAAGACAAGGCAAATACAAACCACTGGTTCTAATTTTTAGGTTCTTAATGTTAAGGTGGTATAAATGAGAAATGTAAAATTAAATACTTTACAAATAAAACTATAATCTTTTATTTTTCAACCACATCTAAACTCCCTAGAACCAGCATGGAATATAGCTTCATTGAAAAAAGGGTTCAATAAACAAGTTCCAAGACATGAAACTTAGAAACATAAATGCTTAAACAAAAAAACAGTCTCTTTTTCAACATGGAAATGCTCTCAGATTAACACTTAATTAGTAGATAGTTATGTGACTTAAAACTAGAAGATAATCACTGAAAGTGACTGTTAAATTTGTATAACAATCCTTTCTAAAAAATGCTTATTTTTAACAGAAAAAGATCTCCCAAGCTTATCAAAGAAGTTCCAGCAATAAGTTAAAAATGAAGTAAGACATACACAGGAGGGAACAACTATGCTCATCAGAAAGAACTGACAGCTCAGGAAATGTCTCATCTTATCTGCAAGAAAAAGTAAACAACGGAAAATAAGGGACGCCTGTATCACTTATACTGCTTCATATTAAAGATTTCTGTTATAGTAAACTATTGCTCAAACTTAGGAAATGTCTGGAAGATGAACTATTATTGGGGCTAGTTTTCCTAGTTTTTGTATTATTTTCTTCACTACAACGTTTATCTAGATTCTGCTACACTGACAGATGTTCAGTGCCTATAAATGATCAAAGAGTGGGCATATATAATGTCTTAAAGTCAAATACCTCAGTCTGCTGAGAGTCAGTTTACGAATCACTATAAAGCTATCTGGAAAAATTTTCCAGCAACATTTATTGTTCATAACCTTTATCTTACCTGCAAATGCAAGAGTTGCGACACCCAGTCCAACAGCTATCAAACTTCTTGCCTGCGAAAGAAAACACTATTATCAACCACAAAGTTACACAATGAGTTTTCAAAGGAGATCATTCTTAAATCGTGATCATAATTATATTAAATGCTACAATTTTTTCAAGTTCTGCTGTGAGTCAAACCTTAAAAAACCTGTAATGTCTATGGTTTATATTAGCTACACACCAGTAACTTAATTGTCAGTGAAGATAATTCTACATTTTAATTTTATTTCCATATATTTAATTCATTCTAACCAAGAACTTTTACATTGCCTACTGCTAAAATGTTTTCTATCAGCTGTTCTTAATAGTGAAATAAATGTATTTATCTTCTAGAAAGATAAAAGGCACAGATTTCTTCCTCTATTACACTGGAGATTTTTAATGGCATCTGCTGTATTTAAAAACATAAAACATTAAATGCATGTTTAGTAAACAAGTCAAACATCCAAAAATTAGTAATAACATCACATTTAAAAGCTAGTTTATTTAGGTCTTTCTAAAATAAGGTAAACATTAAAAAACTATTCAAGGATCTAGAGTCTAAAGTATTATTCTGGCAGGCCTGTTTTATTGATTGTCTTGTTTTGGGGTTACACACAGCAGTTTCTGTGTGGGAGGGGGGCTGCTCTTGGTTCTTTCCTCAGGGCAACAGTGAACTCAGCCTGCTGAGCTCTCTCTCCAGACCTGGGTTCAATCCTTAGCACTGTGCAGTTTCATTTTAAACTGGCTCTATACTATATCCCCTAACCATGTCAGGAAAATAAATGAGTCACCACAGAAAAAGTTTACACAGCAGAAATCAACAGGCAGTGCCAATATACACACTCCATTTCTTCAATTGGATCAGAAATTACTTTGTTCTGTTTTGTTTGGGGGGCCTCAGCTAGTGGTGCCAGAAAGCACCTAGCCCCCTGTACTATCTCTCTGGTCACAGTAATTCTTAGCTTTGAGCCAGCCATGAATTCCCAAGCCTCCCTTAAGAAGGTCTGGCTGCAATTAAAAGACATAGAGTGGCAGGATGGATTAGAAAATTGAACCCAACATTCTGCTGCCTGCAAGAAACACATCTCAATAGTCAAAGCAAACACAGACTCAGAGTCAAAGGCTGGAAAACAATCCTACAAGCAACAGCTCCCATAAAAAAGCTGGGGTAGCCATCCTAATATCAGACCACATTGATTTCAGAGTGAGGAAGGTCATAAGAGACAGTGAAGGCCATTTCTTATTGATCAAAGGATCTGTACAACAGGAAGAACTTACAATAATAAATGTATATGCACCTAATGAGAGACCAGCAAAGTACTTAAAACAACTACTCATAGATTTGGAAAAAGACATCAATAGCAACACAATACTAGTGGGAGATTTCAACACTGCTTTGTCACCTCTTGATAGATCAACCAGACTCAAGCTTACTAAGGACATACTTCATCTGAGGGAAACAATGGAAGAAAGGGACTTAGTAGATATATACAGGACACTTCATCCACAAAAACTGAATACACATTCTTCTCAAGCGTACATGGAACATTCTCCAAGATAGACCACATGCTGAGCCACAAAACATGCCTCCATAAAATTAAGATAGAGATTGTATCAACAATCTTCTCAGACCATAATGCGCTGAAATTAGAAGTAAATCACACACAAAAACAGAAAACTAAATCAAACACCTGGAAATTAAACAGTGCTCTATTGAACAACGAGTGGCTTAGACAGGAAATCAAAGAAGAAATCAAAAGATTCCTAGAAACGAATGAAAATGAGAACACGAGTTACCAAAACTTATGGGACACAGCAAAAGCTGTGTTAAGAGGAAAGTTTATAGCTCTACAAGCATTCCTCAGGAAGGAGGAGCGAGCACACATAAGTAACCTAACCTCACAGCTTAAGAGCCTGGAGAAGGACCAAAAAAAGGAGCACAACCCGAACAGGAGAAAGGAAATAATAAAACTCAGAGGAGAGATTAACGAGATGGAAACCCAAAAAACAATTCGAAAGATCAATGAAACCAAGAGCTGGTTCTTCGAGAAAATTAACAAGATTGATAAGCCTCTAGCAAAACTCACAAAGAAAGGGAGAGAGAAAACCCTAATAAACCGAATCAGAAATGAAAAGGGGTTCATTACAACAGAAACTACAGAAATTCAAAGGATCCTCAGGGAGTACTTTGAGAAACTTTATGCCATGGAACATCAAAACCTCAAGGAAATGGATAAATTCCTAGACTCCTACAGACTCCCAAGGCTGAACCAAGAAGACCAGGAATACCTGAACAGACCTATCACCATCAAAGAAATTGAAATGGTAATAAAAAGTCTCCCCAAGCACAAAAGTCCTGGCCCGGATGGATTCACTAGTGAATTCTTCCAAATCTTTAAAGAGGACTTACTCCCAATCCTCTTTAAGCTTTTCCACGAAATTGAAATATCAAAAACACTTCCAAAAAGTTTCTACGAAGCAAATATCACACTGATACCAAAAGCAGACAGAGATACCACAAAGAAAGAGAATTACAGACCGATATCCCTGATGAACACAGATGCAAAGATCCTCAACAAACTACTAGCAAATAGAATCCAACTACTCATCAAAAAGATCATACACCATGACCAAGTAGGATTCATCCCAGGGATGCAAGGATGGTTCAACATTCGGGAATCAATCAACATAATCCATCATATCAACAAAAGAAAAGATAAAAAGCATATGATCATATCAATAGATGCAGAGAAAGCATTCGACAAGATCCAGCACCCCTTTATGATGAAAACCCTAGCCAAAATGGGTATAGAGGGGACCTTCCTCAACATAATTAAAGCCATCTACCACAAGCCTACAGCAAGCATCATCCTCAATGGGGAAAAACTGAGAGCCTTCCCTCTAAGATCAGGGACGAGACAAGGATGCCCACTATCTCCACTGCTGTTCAATATAGTACTGGAAGTACTTGCAATAGCGATTAGGCAAGAAAAAGATATTAAGGGCATTCAGGTAGGAAAGGAAGAAATCAAGCTCTCACTATTCGCAGATGATATGATACTCTACTTAGAGAACCCAATAACCTCCACCAAAAAACTCCTATAGTAAAGTATAGTAAAGTTGCAGGCTATAAAATCAATACCCAAAAGTCCATGGCTTTCCTATATACAAACAGTGAGAGAGAAGAAAGCAACATGAAAAAAACAATCCCGTTCACAATTGTGCCCCAGAAAATCAAGTACTTAGGAATCAGCTTAACTAAGGAAGTAAAGGACCTGTACAAAGAAAACTACAAAACGCTACTTCAGGAAATAAAAGAGGACATGAGGAAATGGAAAGATATCCCCTGCTCATGGGTCGGGAGACTTAACATTGTCAAAATGGCGATATTACCGAAAGCATTGTATAAATTCAATGCAATCCCTATAAGGATACGCACGACATTCTTCAATGAAATGGAGCAAACACTCCTGAAATGTATATGGAACAATAAGCCCACACGAATAGCTAAAGCAATTCTTGGGAAAAAGAAAATGGGAGGAATCAACCTCCCAAACTTCAAACTGTACTACAAAGCAGTAATAATTAAAACAGCATGGTACTGGAACAAAGGCAGAACTGCAGACCAATGGAACAGGGTTGAATACACTGACATCTCCCCTCAATCATATGATCATCTAATCTTTGATAAAGGTGCAAGTAATGTGAAGTGGAGTAAGGAAAGCCTCTTTAATAAATTGTGTTGGCATCACTGGACGGCTACATGCAAAAAAATAGGCTCAGAACTCTGCCTAACACCATGTACAAAAGTAAGATCAAAATGGATTAAAGACCTCAACATCAGACCAGAAACCCTAAGGTACACTGAAGATAAAGTTGGCAAAACCCTCCATGACATTGAAGCTAATGATATCTTCAAAGATGTCACGCCACTGGCCGAGCAAGTGAAAACAGAGATAGATAAATGGGACTATCTTAAACTAAGAAGCTTCTGCACCTCCAAAGAAACAGTGACCAAAATACAAAGACAGTCTACAGAATGGGAAAGGATATTCACCAAATACACATCTGATAAGGGGTTGATATCCAGGATATACAAAATACTGGTTAAACTCCACAAGAAGAAAACATCCAACCCCATCCAAAAATGGGGCAATGAAATGAACAGAAACTTTCTCAAAGAAGAAATCCGAATGGCAAAAAAGCACATGAGAAAATGCTCTACATCATTAATCATCAGGGAGATGCAGATCAAAACCACAATGAGATACCATCTCACACCTCAGAGACTGGCCCACATTCAAAAGAACAAAAGCAACTGATGATGGCGCGGATGTGGCGAGAAAGGGACACTCCTTCACTGTTGGTGGGAATGTCGACTGGTTCAGCCCTTCTGGAAAACAGTATGGACGATTCTCAAAAAATTAGAAACTGAGCTCCCATTTGACCCAGCAATACCACTCCTGGGAATATATCCCAGAGAGGCAAAAATGTATAGTCGAAGTGACATCTGCACTTGTTTGTTCATTGCAGCACTCTTTACAATAGCCAGAAACTGGAAGAAACCTGAATGCCCAAGAACAGATGACTGGTTAAAGAAACTTTGGTACATCTACACAATGGAGTACTATGTAGCTCTTAGAAAAGATGAAGTCATGAAATTTACATACAAGTGGTACAACATGGAAAGTATCATGCTAAGTGAAATGAGTCAGAAAGAGAGGGATAGACATAGAAAGATTGCATTCATCTGGGGGATATAAAGTAGCAAAATATGGGATTAATACCCAAGAATAGCTGAGATCAGCACCAGGAGGATTACTCCATAGCTTAGTGGCCAGTCGGGCATTCTAGAGGAAAGGGCAGCTCAGATAGAGAAGGGAACACCAAAGAAAGGGTGTTTGGAGGATCCTCCCAGGAGGGGAGATGCATGTCGAAAGTGGACTATGGACTGAACATGTTTGCCACTCAATGCCTCTTTTGCAGACCACAACACCCAAAACGAGAGAGAGAACACAGGGGATTGCCC